CATATTCTAAAAATTTTAGTTTATTTAATATCAAAAATCTATTTAAAGTTTATACTATATGTAGTATAAAATTTTATATAATGTAAAATTATATTAACGACATATATTATCATTATATTTAAATTAACATTATTAATCTGTTCTATTGTAATTTCCTGCAGTACAAAAAATCAAGCCAAATAAAGTTGCAAATCTTATTTGCAAAAGATGAAGCATATAAAAAAATCATTGTTATTGTGTATTTTGCCAAATTTGGAACTAATATAAAAATTAAGTTAAAATTATAAAAATTAGCGTTAGTATGATAGCATATTCTAAAAATTTTAATTTATTTGAAATTTTACTTTAAATTATGGGGTAATTCAATGAAACATACAAAATCACTCAATTAAATTACTATAAATAATGTGATGTTAAGCCCTTACTTTTCTTATTTATCAAACAAACTTAAGAATATATACTAAGCAAGTTTTTTTATATTATTTCTTTATATTTTTATACTGCCAGATATTCACTTTATATATTCATTTCTTAGGGAAAAATTTGATTTATAACTTCAGCAATTTGATTCCTATTGAATCAGATCTGTCAGGTATCTATGTTGGGATATCCAAATTCGGCAATTTGATCTTCAACAAGATTAAATTTGTCAAACATCCGTGTCGGGATGTTATCAACTTAGGGAAATAATGAAAACCGCGCCGATGATTGTTTATTAAAAGTGATTGCAATTAATATTTAAGCAATTACACAAATATTCTGAGCGGTTACTTTCAAAAAAAAATGTCTCTGAGAAATTCAAGACAAAAAGAAACAAAAAATACAACTAAATCCTTGGCTCCGAAAAAATATGGGCGAGTAACTAGAAAAGAAAAAAGAAATGCAAGATTATTTAATAGACATGTCATAGTTAAAAAAATCAAAGATCAAATTAGACTTCTCTCTAAAGGAATCCGTGGCGTACCAAGAGAAGATGAATCTATTAAAAGTCGAATTGAATGGTTTACTAAGTTGAAAGAATTTACCAAGACTTCGAGTGCTGATAATCTTTCATTATTTGAAAATATTTATTTAAATTTCGAAGCTAAAAAAAAGGAAAGTGATGCTGTAATTACAAGGTGATTATTTTTATTATATATAAATGAAATTATTTAACTTTATTAATATTAAAATTCTTTCCAGTTTACATCAAGAAACCGACCGACTTCGAACAGAACTTAGTGAAGCTAAGAATAACCTTGAGCAATTTAGAAAAGAAAACGAAGGGTACAAACAATACTATGAACAAACTCAACTAACCATATTTCCTGAGTATCTTTCAACAATTGAATATTTACGAAGCAGAGTTGATCAATTAGAATTATATTTAGGTATTGGTATAAGCAATTATAGTTAAGAATGAGAGTTCAAATGAGAGTTCAAAATCTGGTGATGAAATGGGCGGTACATTTTATTAGATGTCGATATTGGTTTTTATTCACTTTGTACAAAGATATAGTAAATTTATTTCATTTTTACTTTATTTGTGTTCAAATTAATAAAAAATTACACAAATAACAAATAAAATTATTCAAAGACTTTGATATTAATATTATAGTAAAAGTAAACCAATTTGGGAGCAACAAGAGCAAAAAACCGCCAGAATGAACCAAACTGGGAGAAAAAGAAAAGTTGCTGCAGGAAGTGGATAGGTGGACAAAGGTACCAATAACAATATAGAAGATCTTGTATAGAAATAGGTAGG